TATTTATACTTGTTAAAACTTGCACTGGCCAATGAGGGAGGCAGGACATGGTCTTTCCAAATAGGCATATAGTAAGTCAGGAGAATGTCTGAATAATTTCATGTGTGGAATTCCTGAAAGGGGAGGAAATAAGGCAAGACGAGGATGCTTTGGGTGTCCTAATTTTTCCATTCTGATGTTGTATTCCAATCCTATTCCCTTGAAGCTGATGATGCAAGTAAAACTCTGACACATTTTTACAGAACAAAGTAAAAAGGACCTCAACCTAATTAGATTCTCTAAGACCGCTAAACACAATCCCATGAGGACGTGAGGATAGAGTAAATCAGCAGTTTGTATGCTAAGATTCCTCTCACTGTTTGTGATTTAATCATGGATAATATGTGCACAGGATAGTGGTTTCTGGTTCTTACATATGTGTATAGTCCTGACTGCTCTTAGGAGACCCCCAAAATTTAATTCCCTTTGTTCTTTATCAGGATGGCTCACAGGCAACTCAGACTTCGCATCTGAAACATAACTCCTGGTCTATTTCTAAAGGGTAGCTCAGCCTTCAAGGGTCTCACACTCCAGTATATGCACCCCTGTGTACAATGCTACTCATGCCAATGAAGTGGAAGTCATCTCTGACACGTTTATCTACCTCTAGTCCATCATCCATATTCACATACATAGTGCAGATCCTGTGGCCACTACTCTGACCCAGCTTCCATCATCTCATTTGGACCATTGCAATAACATGCTAACTGGTTTCATCATTTTCTATTTTGTGTCTTTCCAATCCATTTCACCAAAATAGCAATATTATATTATTGGTTCACACGGTCCTGCATGTTTGGACTTTGTCTAGATTTGCAGCTTCATCTGCCCCTCAAGCAATTCCCACTTTCGTCTGGCTCAAGGCCTTCCATTTGCATAAGCCTCTAGTTCTCTTTGGCCTCAGTACCTTTACCCAGATAGTCCAGAATGATCGTTATCTCCCTCTTTACTAGATGATCTGACTAATTCCTACTCAAGCTTCAGGTTATAGCTTAAAAATTGTTTTGTTAGAGAGTCTTTTCTTCACCTTATAATTATAATTAAGGTCTCATCTGCTTATACTCTCTTTATACCCCATATTTTCTGTACTTTATATGTTTTAGCCATAGGTATATATATATATATCTTAGTTTGTAATTACATATACTTTTTCAATTGCTTGCTTAATATCTATGGTTTCACTACAAAGTAATTTCTGTGAAGACATGGAATGGAGTTATGGTTAGAAGACAAGTTTTAAATTGGAAAGGAGCAATTGGGGGATTGGTCTTTTGTGCCATGCTAAGGGATTTGGATTTTAGTTGGAGAAAATGGAGAACTATTAAAAACTTAAGCCAAGTGGTGGCATGCTCAGCATTTGATTCAGTAAGCTGTGCATGGTCCCCGGTGGAGTATGGATGAGACAGTAAGACCAGGGGCAAGGAGACTAGGCAAGACATCATTGAAATGGTTTAGGTGAGAGATGTTAAGGGTTGGAACTAAGGCATAGCAATATTAGAATAGGAAGCATATTTCACAAGTTAGAATAATATGCCAATCAATGGCTGAGTTTTCTAAGAAGCAGACTAAGAGATTGTAACTCTCGGGGAAAATATCAGGGCAAAATACCTTTGAAACCAAAATCAAAGGGAGAAATAAAGTGGGAGTAATACATTTATTGCTTACAAGCAGTTGTCCACTTCTGCTCTCCTGTGTCTGGTTCTCACCCAACCTCTCCGGTCCAGATAGGCCCTCACTCACCCTTATAATTACCTATTGATATGGAGATGGACTACTTCCCTGCACCCCTTAGAAACACCTATTGATATGGAGATGCACTAAAGCCAAGAGAGAGATTCTGGAAATATTGCAATTTTACCCACAGAGATTGAGATCAGTGTGCCTGTGTTTATTACAGAGTATTCTTGGAATCAACACCTGAGGGAAAGAAAGAACAGGATTGAAAAGAAGGAGAAGTCAAATTGTAGTGCAGACCCCGTGGAAGTCAAAGCTAAGCCCACAGTTAGCTGGAGCCGGGATGGCCTCTCTGAGTTAACTCTTGTTGGAACTAGTGGGCTGGGCATTGATGCTCCTGTGTTGATCAGTCATTCATTAGACACAGTCTGGTCCCATGAACAGGAAGTGACCTGGGTGCGATGGCTACTTTCAGACAATGCCTAAAGGGAACTGACTGCTGAGGGCTTTCTGTCAGTACCACTTTCAGTAGCTGGAAGGGGCGTCAGTGGATGGCTGCTCTACAGGCTATTATTGACTGGGAGGCTGAGAGATAAAAGGAGCCCAGAGTGCTAAACAGGAAGAGGCCGGTGCTAAAGACTGTGTAATCTGACAGGAAGTAGACCTCAGCCGTGGAGGAGAGCATATGTTAAGTGAGAAGAGTATTGAGGTATACCTGGAACAATCAGATAAAACAAACATGGGTAAGGGCACCTCAAGAGCAAAGAGGACTGAGAGTGAGCAGGGAGAGAAGTCCCAAGCAGGAAAATGCAACAAAGGCAAAAGAGATAAACCTTCCCTGGGTGCTTGCTCAGGGCGAGGTACTTCGCACACATTCCATGACTCTAATCTTCAAAGCAGCCCTAAGAGGTTGGCATTATTATTATTACCCTATTATTTTGTGGAATAGCAATTTGGAGAGTTTTAAAAATGTGCCCGTAGCTGATGGCTAAGGCATCAAGCTAACACCAAAACAAACCTCTCCAAAGCCTGTGCACTTTCCTGACTCAGTCACAAAGCGGTGGTTTCTTCTGACCCCCACTGACAGAAAGGTCAATTCAGCAAGGGGGTGGCAGTGTTCTCTGGAGACAGCAGGTAGGGTGTCCAGAAGTCTGTCACATTGCCAGCATAGTTTCATTGGGTGGCCTGGTGATGGAAGGCAGACTTCCATATTGGAGCAGTAGAAAATGGGAGTGTGGACTAAAAGATGTATCTGAATGAATAATAGGGAAAGTGCATATGGCAGGATGGAGTCTGAACATGGAAGAGACTTGAGTTTGTTTGTATTCTGAAGGATAACTCAGAGAGAGGAAGAGGGTGTAGGCACACTGAAGGGGGGAAGATCAATGAGGCAAGAGCCCCGGAGGGGGAAGGAGGGAATAAGATTCATAGAAAGGTGGAGAGGAAAACAGTATCTCCCCTTGAATATAAAGGAGAGAAAGTAAACCCAGTGTTGACAATTGGCTTTGGCTGTGAGGGGAAGAAACAAGAGCACCTACATTATGTATGCTTCACAGATCATTCTTATTTTCAGGATGTACCTTCACATTCTGAGTAAACATATGCTCTCATTTGTGTTTATTTATAGTACAGACCAGATGTTCTATTTGATGAAAAATCAAACAATTGGAAAAGAACAGGAAGTTGGAACTATCTTTGCAAGTAGGACAAAATGAAAATAGGACTAAAAATGAAATAGAATGAGGAAGAGGAGTTGGAAGTACAGATCAGAGTAACATTGGCAAATCCCTTCAGGGACAGAATAATTAAAGTAGTGCCTTAGTAACCCAGAACAAAGGGCCGAGAAAATTCTTCTTCCTGAGCTGGGGTTAGGAAATGGTGAATTACACAGAAGTCATCTGTTGTTTTAATGATTCATATTCCTTAGAGAGGGAGTTTGCATTTGGTCTAGGATGGTACAGATAGATAGATAGGCACTGAAAACTCAGTGCTATCTGTATTTCCTAATTAAATCAGTGAATTAATGGGCTCCTTAAATGTGGATGCTATTGGGTCTCCCATTAGCTTTTGACTGAAATGGAGGACCTCTTGCAAACTGTAATGCCTGCAGCTGGAATATGGTTGGTGTGCTTGTTTGAAATGGATTCCTTGCAGTAAGAAATGAAAGAAAAGGGGAAGAGGTCCATACTTTCCACATTTAAGCAACTCCATATCTGTGGGCAATGGAAATGATGACAATTCAACTGCTGGACTTTGAAACAGTCTAAACTGAGTTTTGCTTGCTTTGAAAACTATTTGAAAAACTGTTGAAGGGGCAGCATTAAATTTCAGATTTAGTCCTATTCATATGAAAAGCTTTGAAAAAACATCTCCCCCCTCCTGGTTCTGAGTCAGATTAGAAAGAGAAGGTAAGCATAGTAAATTAGAGACAGATTTATTCCTGAATCAGTTACCACACAGCTAGCCTAGCCAAGCACAAACATTCTACATCTGGGAAATGGGAGATTTTTGAAGACACCTCCCATCTCTAAAAAGTTTTCTATTATCTGCATTTAAGTGATTGAATAGCTAATCCAAAGAGTCACTTTCATATTTTTCCATAAAAATGGTATATACTTTTTTCATTTTGATAAATGAGATATGCTATAAACTGCCATTGGAAAAAAAATGTAATAAAAGTGTATATACTAAACATTATTTCACTAGAGAGAAAAGTGTTACTTAACAAATAGTAATTACCAGTAAATTCAATTATGAATGCATCTCTTTGTTCTTTCCTTCTGGATCTTAAAAATAAACTGTGACATCTGGATTCCTTTTAAAAAGGGTCAGTAGTTTTAGTAGAAGTCTTGAAACTAATAAACATTTCTCCATATCTAGAAGTATTTATTAAAACCAGAATTGATTAAATATATTAAGAAAAGGTAGCTTAGGTTAGAAAAGAGTAATAAATCGTTTAAATCCAAAGTTTTTTCAGTTGCTTTCCAAAGAACTGATGAGGCTCTGGTACTGTGGTCAGCTGTGGCTTAACACACGTATTTATACTTTTACACTGGAGTGATTTTTACACAGGAAGTTTTCAGCTCTGTAATTAGCAATCCACAGTGGAAGCTTTGAAACTTAATTACAGCATTGTTAAGACAATAATAATATGAGAAATACCAAATTGAATGCAGTATTTCTTGACATACTTCTGGCTACCTTCTTATTGGCTGGGAACAATTATATATGACTAGTAAATAATCCATACAGAAATGAATGTGTGTGGGCAAAGGCAACATGCATTTACAACAGGCACTCCTAGTTAGGCCAAGTTCAGTCCCTGCTGCTGATCTGGACTAAAAACGTTATGGGCAGTGACAGCGGAGAATGTTGTCAGAGACTGCTGTAGACTCACAGAGGCCTCCACGTTCCGGATTTTGAGCAGCTTCTGCTGTTCCAGATTGGATCAGTCTTCAAAGAGAAGGTGATGGCATTTTATCCTCTGCAAACTGCTGGGCTGGTTCTTGGGTTTTTCGGCATAGTTGGGACTCTTGCCACCACCCTTCTGCCCCAGTGGAGAGTATCAGCTTTCATCGGCAGCAACATTATTGTCTTTGAAAGGCTCTGGGAAGGGCTCTGGATGAACTGCATCCAACAAGGCAAGGCAAGGTTGCAGTGCAAGTTCTATGGTTCTTTGCTGGCTCTCCCACCTGTTCTAGAAACAGCCCGGGCCCTCATGTGTGTGGCTGTTGCCCTCTCCCTGATTGCTCTGCTTATTGGCGTCTGTGGCATGAAGCAGATCCAGTGTACAGGCTCCAATGAGAGGGCCAAAGCGTACCTGCTGGGGACTTCTGGAGTCCTCTTCATCCTGACGGGCATCTTGGTTCTGATTCCTGTGTCCTGGACAGCCAACATCATTATCAGGGATTTCTACAACCCAAACATCCACGTAGGGCAGAAACGAGAGCTGGGAGCAGCACTTTTCCTCGGCTGGGTGAGCGCTGCTGTCCTCTTCATTGGAGGGGGTCTGCTCTGTGGGTTCTGCTTTTGCAACAGAAAGAAGCAAAGGCATGGATATCCAGCCCCTGGACGCTGTGTGCCACACACAGATAAGCAAAGGAATATGACAGTGCTTAGCAAGACCTCCACCAGCTATGTCTAATACTGGCTTGTGGCTCAAACTCTGGGTTATGATCAGTGTGCTTTATAGAGTCCTGCCAGAGACTGTAAGTACGTCAAACATGAGAACTTGCTTTATGACTGCATTTAAACTGAGATGGAAAGTATAAAGAGCATATAGGTTACAGTTTGGCACCTGCGGTAGAAATAGAACTGACTTAACTTTGGACATTCTGATCCCATGTGTATTACATGCATGCATTATTATTGAACTGATAGAATCCCAGTTCTCATTTGTGTAGTTTAAAATCAAGAATATCCACAGTCCTTCGTATAATGCCTGACTACTCTTTTTTAACAATCTATACTATTTACTAAGAAATCCAAATTGCAATTGCTAATCCATACCAATAAAACATATCTTAAAACATAACCTATTTTTCTTCCACATAATTTCTTATACTAACAAAGTAACTATTAAAATAGTGACTTTTTCTTTTTTAAACAATTAACTTGAAAAATAATAGATATCAAATAATGGATTTTTAATGGAATTTATCAAAATATAGAAATGTCTATCTAGCCAAAAGATCTTTTATTCCTTTAGGGAACTCAAAAGTACTAGCAATTAAAACACTTTTAGGGAAAAAGGAGGTCTGATTTCTCTTAGGACATGTAAAAAGATGTCCTTAAAGCTTCTAATGTATATGGTTAAATTTGTTTAGAAATACATATTCAAATGAAAATAATTTATAAATAAAAGTAATGTTTTTATAACCTGTGATTCACACCTACAAGTGAACAGCAGTGTCTATCTTGATAAGGTACATCAATAAAAGACTATGAATACTCAACTCTCATCAAGAGGAAATACAGTCCCAATTAGGGATTTGAGGCTTGGGTGTTGAAAGGAATGGTTTCTGTTCCTTGTTTTATTCTTTAGTCATTGTACAGGTCTACACATGCAAAGTAAAGTGAAGAATTAAGGTAATGATTCAGGCAATTAGTCAGGCTAAAATAAGTACCTCCTTTTTATTCTCTAAAAAATAAATAGGTATAGCTAAGCCATTTTGTTTTGCTTGAATTATATGCATTATTTTTCTTGTGTCTTCACTTCCCATGTATTAATGTGCCATATTAAGATGACAACATCAGGGTTAAAAGTATGTGTATTTTGGGGTGGGCAAGGATAGACAAGTGTTTGTGGGCAAGACCATTTCTATGGGTTGTTTCTGAATATCTCCAGTATTTCCGAGCCAACCAATGTTTATATATTCAAATATAACTTTAAATATTGTGTTTATTTTATAATAAAATGTACTTAACTTACAGCATGTAATTGCAATGAACAGATTAAATCTGTCACCATCTATTTATTGTATGTCCATCCCTATTACAATAAAATCATAAAATAAGAGTTACATATTTTCAATGATGTTGATATATTTCACTGTGGGGTCAGTTTGAGAATGAATTTCTATCATCAAAAGATCATCTAGTAACTCTAAAGCATTAAATCTGAGATAACTCAAGTCTAGGTGTTAATGTCAAACCCTCACTCCATTCTACACACCACCAGCACCACTTCAGTATGCCAAACACTTAGTAACATAAAACTGTATTAAAAAATTAATAACACATTCGTGGTAAATGTGATATCTTCCAATAGTATCTTCAAATAATAGCAATAAAAATAAGAAAAGCAATGATTTAGATATAGTTTTCCCAGGATTGTTTTCTTTTTCATACTTAATTCAGAAAGGCCTAAATATTGGGCATGTTGAAAGGAGTCATTTATCTTATCCAGGCAAATAAGTAAGACATAAAGACAAGCAAGATATATGCCTAAAGGTTGTCATGAAGTCATTTGTCTTAGCCTTTGGCATACTAGAAGAAGTCATTAGCCTTGCATGATGAGTTCCAGAGACTAAATGAGGCATGTTACCCTGCTAGCTAGTGAATAAAAGAGTAAAAAGGTGTAACACTGGATGGAATCATAAAATTACTGGAAATGAAGCACAGTCTCAGGAACTAAATGTTCTTTTGTTTGCTCTTTCATTTATCAAGGTGTACTTTCAGAAATTTTTTTCTACCTCCTCCATTCTGCTACAGCATTCTCCCTATTACACCAAAAAGAAATTATAATCATTTTCAAAGAGTTTCAAGATGCATTATGGATGTAAATCTCATACCACAAGACATGCATCTTTATTTTTCAAACTGTAACTTAAATTCAACTTCTTGGGCATTCTCCCACATATTGCAGAGTTCCTTTAGTCTTATGCAGTGCTAAGCTGTGATTAGGGTGTGGAGGGCTCAGGGTATCAGTCTAAGTTCATCAGTCCCCACAGGTGAGTGAGAAGATGTCTGTTCTATTTGTCCACATGGTCCCTTAGCCTCCTCAGCTGTGCCACGCTTGGCAATCTTTTTGAATCTCTCTTGTCCTGGGCTGCTTGGATCAGTGGATTTCAACCCTCGCTGCATTAGAATTGCCAGGGGAACTTTGAAAACTACCAGCCCAGCCAGTGTCAAGATGATCTATGCTACCATTTCCTACAGTCCTGGTGGGAACCTGACCTGCTAACTTGGTTACCAGCTGTCTACAAACAGTGGTGGAGGAAATTTTTCCTTTTCTTACAAGATTTTTAAAAAATATATCACCTCTAAAAACCTTCCTCTCCTCCACAGTCAAATATTCACACCTCGTACAGGCTTAGATGTTCTGAAGCAAAAATACACAAATAAAGACTAAAACTCGCCTAGGTTGCTTTGCCTTCTGCTTGCACACACCACTGAGCCAGTGAAATGGAAGGCCTAAATTTTGGGCATGTTGAAAGGAGTCATTTATCTTATCCAGGCAAATAAGTAAGACATAAAGACTGCCTTCTGGAATGGGAATCAGGAAAAGGGGGGAAACATACTATTATCCAGCCACATATGGTGGAAAGTGTTTTAAATGACAAATACTTTGTAAGTTATAATTAATGAAATGCACATTCATAATTCTTCTCATTAGCAAAAAAACTTGATATATTTAAAAACATTTTGTTAGGCTCACTGGCTTTTCACAACCACCATGTAATGTAGACAGTAGATATTCTTATCAACACATTTCAACTAAGAGGACTGACAGAAAACAGGCCAAAGTAATAGCTAACCTTGAGAAATCAAAAGGCCAATAACAGTAGGAAGTAGAGACTTAGTAAATATCAGAAGAATTTTTAAGAAACAATATGTACGTGATACAGTAGTTTGAGATTCTAGTTCATTTGGGGCTCCTCCTACCGCAGGGACGAGATGAAACAATAAAGCTCAGAAATTTAAGGAGAGCTCTTGTTTGTTTTTTGTTCAAAAAGGCTAAATTCTGAGGAGATTGTGAGCAAAGAACAAAATGGTTCCATCATAACTATGTTTTTCTCACTCTTAAGATAATAAAATGATTTCTTTGGATGAAGGTAAAACAAAAAGGAGCAGAATGAAGAGGGTGTAGATATCACTGTGTCCTTGGGAAGGGCTCTGTGGCCTCTCCTTAGTCTAGTTCCTGGGGAATGAGACACAAAGAAATGGTAGATTCTCAGATGGGTTTGAGAATATAAGGGCAGCGATGACCTGTGTCCTGCCCCAGGTGGAGCCAAGGATGTTGACAATGGTCCTCAAGCCCTCAAAGTGCTGGGAGATAAGCATATCTCTGTGATGTGTTTAGTCTGACAGACCAAGAAACAATCTTGCCAAGTTTTCCACAGCTAGAACACTAGAGGGATAAAAGAGTATTTCCTACTCACCTAAGGGTGACACAGAGAGTCCTAGGAGTGAGGACTCAGTGAGAACACAGCAGTAGCACGCATAGGTGGACATGAGGGCCTGTCCACGGCCTGCTGTCCTCAATGCCATTCCTTGCTCTGCCTCTGCTCTAGACTCTATCCTAGACGTCGGTTCCCACGGGTTGGGCAGTGCTGTGCCAAGAGCAGGCAGGGGGAGCAGGCCTCACCAGGTATGAGCCATAAGAGGTAACTACCTGTAGAAAATTTAAAAACAATAGTAAAACCAGCCAAGTATTGGGTTGTTTATTATCTTCACATGCTAGCGTTTCTAAACAATGTCAGTGATAAACTACTCCTGCTCAAAAAAGAAAAAATTGTCTTTGTCTAAGTCCTGAACAATCATTGAAGTTCCTGTAGATGATGGGGATGATGATGACAATAGGTAAATAGATGGTTGATGATGGACACACAGATGGTAGATATGTAATAGCTAGATGACAGATATAGGTAGGTGATGCATAGATAGATGTTATTTATGCTGCAGTGAGCCCTGACACATGACTGTATGAATTTGTTTCAAGAACAAATAAAGGAGTTTATCTCTAGATTCAGATTTGGGAAAGCATAGTTTAAAATTCATCACTCTCCAGTTATTCTGTGTTATTCGTGTAATTTTTAACCACAGACACTCACAGTGACTATAAAAGGACAGAAATAAAGTAACTCAAGTTCTGTGTCTGTCTTGACAGTGTCTATGCTATGGCATAGGAAATGGAGGCACAAACTGTATACTGGCTAGCCCAAATGAGTCTAACTTGTTATGGGCTCCCTGGAATTTTTTCAGAATACTGTCTATAAAAACTACAGTGTTTATTAAGATAAATAATAGAAGTGTGCCAGCTTGAAACTTATAATGGAAAACAATCTCTCTTCCAGAGAGGAGTGGTATAGTAAAAATTGATCTTATCTGGGAGTCAGATGCCGCGGATAGACCATTAAAGCTGTCTGTCAAGCTCCCCTGTCCCGCTGCCAGCTACATTTGGCCAGCAGGAGGCACTGGTGAGAGATGGGAGGGCAGGAGTGTTCCTCTTTTCTCTGCCTGGGGAGGTGCCTTCCGGGTGGTTCTGTCTCCTCCCCAGCTTTGCCTGAAGGAGCCACCTTATGTCCAGCTTCTAAGAGAATGAACCTCACCTCTTAGGTCCAGCAATACTGCCTTCTTTTCCATTCCCTCATCTTTCTGCTGCTCCTAGTCTCTGGGAGGCTTCCTGGTTCTCCACAGTCCTTAGTTTCTCAAATTTCTCCTTGATCTGTGTGGCAAAGTCCCTCTGTTAAGTTCCACTAAGTTGAATATTAAGAATGATTTTGCTCTTCCTGGCTGTAACTGATGGGTACAACAACTGACAATCATTCTGAAATGGGGGCATCTCTTGACTTTTCCATGAGCCCAAAGAATTTAGATACAACCCTGGGAAAATTAGGGAGCCTCACTGAATAACATTAAGTTCGTATTCCATGAAGGCTTAGAACAAAACTTCAGTTCAGTTTTTAAAAATACTTCATATTTGCATGTGAAAACATCTGGCACACAGGAGACAGCAAACATTTTGCTGACAGAATGACTGAATGATGAATTCAAATGATGAATTAGAGAAGGAAGAAAAT